AACGAATCAGTATTCTACCATTCCAAAACAATTATCAATTTGTTGAATGTTTAGGAGAAGTTTTTTTTTTTTTTTTTTTTGGTATCCCTCAAAGCAGGACAAGAAGGGTATGGATTCCTAGTCCAATTGGTTTCTTTTCTTGTGCCTCCTTCCATGTTTTATCCCTCCCTCCTCTTCCTGCTCTGCCATTTACTGTTAAAGAAGTGTCGTGTAAGCCTATTCCACTCAGAGTTCAGGCTTTCTGTTGGGATGAGGTTCATAAGAGCATTAGCACATTATATATACTACAAAAAAGAAGACCCTACTGGTTCTTATCCTCTAATTGGTGTGTTTCGTGTAATGCTTGTGATGAAACAAACTTTCATTTACTAATCTCCTGTCCATTTGTTGTTAGTATTTTGGAATGGTTTCTTTCTTTGTTTTTTAGCAGGTTGGCTCCTCCAGCTAGTGTGGCAGGTTTGTTCTCTCCAGAAACATTGATGCAAAGTAGGAGAAGAGCACTGTGAAGGTGTACCAGGGCAGAAATTTTATGAACTATTTGAGAAGAAAGGAATGCAAGGTTATTTAAAGAACAAAGAAGATCTAAGGGAGGAAGTAATTGAATGTATTAAGATTAGAGTATGTTTCGACTGCTCCTACAGTAGTCCGAAGAGGAAGAGGAGAAGAAGAAGAAGAAGAAGAAGAAGAAGAAGAAGAAGAAGAGGAAGAGAAGAAGAAGGGTCTGTCTAAAATCTGATGGTTAACCCATCCAGTCGACCCCCTTAATCTATATTAGATTCTAATCATGTTTACAAAGACAGAAATGCCCTTACTTAAGTGTGGGGYAGAGTAACTCTAATAACACAGCCACATAAGCAAGTTACTTAATAAACAGAAGAAGACTAAACTACCCCTATTCGGCACATCTTAACGGAGTAGTTTTTTTGATAAAATCGTTGGACACTGTAAGTCCATTTTCTGTTGAGGACATATTAATGAAATGGGGGAGGTGGCTGCTTCATCTTCTGAAATTAGGAGGTGGGAACCTCAGCAGAAGGGCTTTCTTAAACTTAATTTTGATAGAAGCAGTGTGGGGAATCTGGGTCCTTTTGTGGTGGGAGGAGTACTAAGAGATGAAGGAATTGTGAGAGCATTGTACTTTGGGGCCAATTGGTTAAGGAGATTCTATAAGGGCTGAACTAATGGCAGTTTTTCAAGGAGTTCAACAAGCAAATGAGATGAATGTTGGGAGACTAATTATAGAAGGAGGCTCTAGGGTGACAATTAATTGGTTAAAGAATGGGGAATAAACCTTATGGGAAATTGGAAATGAGATGAAATGTAGGTGGATGACAAGGAACTCGTAGCTGAAAGTTCAATAGGTTCCAAGATTGGCCTAAACTTGGGCTGATAAATTAGCTAAACAAGGGGTGAATAGAGATCAATATTTTGGGCAAAGTTGTATATTTTATATGGGAGAGATAGCATGACTATGTTCTGTCTTGTGTTAAATGATGTATATATTCTATTTTTATTAATAAAATTTAAAATTTCTGTTTCTCTCATAAAAAAAGAAAGGGCATTTATTCCTTTCTACTTATTTTTATTCGTAACTTCTACCGATGATTTGCAATTATCTTAAGAAACTCTCTCTTGAGTCCTGACATGTTGAGTCATTATTTTTTACTGATAATTGTTACTGTTGCATTATAATTGATTTTAACTAGTGGATCTTCTCACAGATAGAGGTGCTTGGAGTTTCTCTTCCTTGGAGGGATATATTTTCTAAGGAAGGACAAGGTTCAAAGTTCTACCAGTGTCTTAATAAATTTAAGGAGACAACCAACCAATCCCAGGAGACCGACCCTTTTTTACATACCAATCCATTTGCTGGTGCATCCCCTGCCAATGAAAATGTGGTCCCACCAGTGCAAACAAATACCTCCTCCAGCATCTGCATGGACCTCCTGACTGGGGATAGCATGTTTCCGGAGTCCATAACTCAACCACCAAAACGAAATGTCAGTTCTGTGGGAGGTGACTTTCTTAATTTCTCAGACAATGCTGCCACAGAGCACCAAGTTCCAGAAACAAATATTAAATTCTCTTCATCACATGATGGAGGGCTTACAGCTGACAGTGCTGCTCAACATTACTTAAACTGCTTGAAAGCCCTGACTGGTCCACATATGGTATATCTGCATTTTCTGAACATTTTGTAACCATTTTTTTCTAATGATTTGTTCTGTGTAATATATCCTAAGCTACTAACAGTTTTATGCCCTTCTTCTCACACATGTTATAATGTTCTATATTTCGTGCTTTTGTGCCACATATCTTGTTTATTCACCTTGTGCTTTATTTCATTTCCTTGTTTTGACTAATGACCAAACTGCATTTTTGTGATAGTGCTTGAATCTCATCCATCCATGTTTATATTGCACATCACTGCTGATGAGATGGATGCAAAGATGATTATTCCATTTGTCTCATGTATTTACTTTGTATATTTTCAATCTCAGGATATTAATAACAGTTGTACTCTGCCATATTTCAGATTTATGCCATAGATGCTCTTCTAGAGAAGAGCATTGAGTGCTCTTCTTCAAAAGGAGAAGAAGCAATCACTGCTACTAGAGCTTTCCAAACTCCTTCAAACTTCAGCCACCCACTTCTGGAGATCAAAAGGAACCCCCTAAGCATTGAGTGCCACACTCAAACTGTCTCCTTAAACCTCTAACTGTAAACTATCTAGTCGGCTAGGGTTTTGGGCAAACAATCTGTAGCCTCACTTTCTTGGCAATCTATAGCTATATTTTGTATCTCCAAACCCTCTACCAACTAGGCACAAAATTGCTCTGAACAATCAACAACTTATCTCTCCATACACTCTTCTAATCGAAGGGTGTATGGGAAAAGAAAAGAAAAAGAAAAAGAAAGAAAGAAAGGAGGAGGTGCTCTGATACCATGATGTGATTGAGTCCACCAAATCTGAAAAATAATATCTGATTATAGCAAGAAAAAGAGAAAAGGAGAAGAAGGCAACAACAGAAATGGAAGAAGATAGAGAAGAAGAGAGAAAGAGAAGAGAGTTCGATGACTTCTCTCCTACCTCTCTAATCCTTTTCTTGGGAATAGAAGTGGCTAGATCCAAGGAAGGGATTTACACCTGTCAGAGAAAGTATTCTCTAGACATGCTGAAGGAGACGGGGAAGTTAGGTATCTGACCTATTGACACTCCCATAGAGAAAAATCATGGATTGCAATAAGGTGATGATGAACCTTATCCTGGAAAAGAAAGATATCAGCAGTTGGCTAGAAGATTTTTGTATCTATCTCTTACTAGGCCGGACATTGCATATTCAGTCCATATAGTTAGCCAATTCATGCATGTTCCACAAGTCTCATATATGAAAGCAGTAGAGAGAATCTTGAGATATCTCAAGACATGTCCCGAGAAAGGGTTACTATTTAAGAAGCATGACAGAATAAAGGTTGAAGCATACACAAATGCTGATTGGGCTGGTTTTCGTGGAGATAGGAGGTCTACATTTGGATATTGCACCTTTGTGGGTGGAAATTTGGTCACGTGGAGAAGCAAGAAATAGGCTATTGTAGCAAGATCAAGTGCTAAAGCTGAATACAGAGCCATGGCTCATGGTGTTGCTGAACTTTGGCTTTGAATCCTCCTAAAAGAACTGGGAATAGATATAATCAAACCACTCAAGCTCTACTGTGACAATCAGGCCACAACCAACATTGCAAATGAACCAGTCCAGCATGATAGGACAAAGCATATCGAGCTTGATAGATACTTTGTACGTGAAAGGATTGTCTCTGGAGAACTTTGTATTCCTTACATGCCATCAACAAAACAGCTTACTAATGTTTTCACTAAAGGACTCACAAAATCCAGATTTATGGAGATGTTATGCAAGTTGGGCATGATAGATATCTATGCTCAGCTTGAGGGGGAGTGTTGTGTAGCCTAGCATTGTGAGCTGGGGCCTGTTTATGTTATGTCATGATAATTAGTTGCGTAACTTCCTTTCTGTGCTAAATGGGCCTGGGCTTATTCTGTTTTTTATGTTTCCTTACTGCCTACTAATCAGGGGCAGATTTGTCATTGTATCCTTTTCTTATTGCCCTAATATAAAAGGCTGTTTCGGAGGGCTGGAGGGTTAGGCTGCCCATTTCTTCTAAACCTCTCTTCTTCTGTTTTCCTTCTTCTTCTTCTTCTTCTTCAGAACTGAACACAAACAAGATCTTCCGATAGATCTTCCAAAAAGACTTGCCAAATGGCACCTTAATATCGAATTTTGACAGGACTCAATTTGGCATAGAAATCCCTGCTTAGTACCGTTGTCAAAAAAGTAGACTCCATCAGCTTCATGCCCACTTCCAATCGTTCCTCCTCGTCCTCAGGTCTTGAAGAACACAATGAATAGGAAAGAAGGTCACAAAAATAATTATGGGATTTTGTAAGAGAACTAACAGGAAGCAAGTTTTTATGTAATTGAGGTACATAAAGAGAAAATTCCATGGAAAGGTTGTGGATAAGCTTAACTGCACCCAAACCAGAAATTGGAGTTTGAGATCCATCAGCAATTGTAATCTTACCATTCCCTGGAACTAACTTGTACAAAGTAAAACATGAAGGCATACCAATCATATGAGCACTAGCCCCGAATTCAGCAATTCGGGAGCTATCCAGGGACGGAACAAGCATGTGCAGTACCTGTTTTAGCAAAGGCAGTGGAGGGGATTACTGGACCTAGTAGAAGTGGATGTCCCACCAACAGTGGCCAAATGGGCATTACCCTTTTTCCCAAACTTAATATTTTCAGGCTTCAAGTGTGGATTCAATTTCCCACATCTATCCTTTGTACGTTTGGGTCTTCTACAATATTCACAAACTAATTCAGCCCTTTCGTTGGCTATGAACTTACTTCTAATCTGCTTAGACTTAGATCTCGAAAATGTTGAGTAATTAGTCACAGGAGGTTGCACATAGCAGCCCTCCTACTTTCCTCTCCTTGAACTAGGGTGAAAGATGATCATTTAATGGTCATGTTGTGCACAAAATCCCTGCAACAAGAGGTGGAATTTCAAAATTTCACATAACTCTAGTGCTGAAATAGCACATACGAGAAAACCATTTTTTCTCATAGGACCAATTAGGTTCTTGGACCATGAAAGATCAGATCTTTTTGGATGAAGATTGAGTGCATTACCTGATATTGAAGTTCACAAATGCAGATTTCGAAGTGGTGTTCACATTCAATCTTGAATCCTCCTGGTAATATTGCAACAAGTTGAAGATGGCGCAACTCTATGTTTGCAGTCTCAGATTCCTTCTCCAGAAAGTACAGCAACATGGGTCTGGCCCTAACGCTTTTGGGTGATTTTCTTGACCCAAAAGACAGCTGGAATAATGCTTGAACCAATGGATATTGACTCAGGTCGAATGGGGTTCAAAACCCTAGTTTAAGTGTCTCACAATGGGGGGATCGTATTCAGCTAGTAGAGAGAATAAAGCATAGTTCGATACCCCTCTCATTCCTCGTTATTTATAAACTTGGGAGGGCTGCAAGAGCCCTCTGCTATTCTATTTACAACTCCTAATTCAATTAGGATAAGATTAGAGAGAGTCCACCTCATAATTTTCAAGGCATTTAGGTGATTCTGGGCGACATTGGGGCGCCTAGTCGCCAGCGCCTAGGCGTCACCTAGGCAATAAAAAAACTGACTTTTGGCTAGTTTCCTAGTTTTATATACCATTCAGCATGTATGTTAATTGAAAAAATAGCAATTCTCTTTATTAAGAACATT